GTCACAATTGATATAAGTGAACATGAGATAAACACCTGTCATTCTTTGCTTATCGAACAGCTGACTAAAAATGATCTCTCAAAAACGTATTATAGACGTCTTTAAAAGACGTTATTATCACGTCAAAATAATCTTTTAAACATCAGTTATTGGTTACATGACGTCTAGGACTGGTAATCACCATTTATCGACGTGACGTTGCTGCCTGAGTAGTGACGTAACCGATGGTTAAACTGATAAAGAGAATAAATACATATTTTTAAGTCCTACAACTTTGGTCTCAAACATTTTTTTCCACAACTATATTTCTCGAAGTATTTTGCCCAGCCGGAACTTTTTGCACTTTCTGTACATATATTGAATACCTCCAGATACTTGAGTCGAGATTGTGCGACTCAAAATAACAAGAAAAAAATAACGTAAGAAAACGTAAAACTAAACGTAAAAAAATTATATAACGAAGTTTTTACGATTTTTTTTTTTTTATTTTTTTTAAATTTCCTACGTTTTCCAATGCCCTAATTTTCATGGTGATTTTTGTATTCTACGACTCAAAATACATAAGAATATGTAACATTTTCGTTTAAATAGCGGTTTTCAAATCCTAATTTTGCACACTCTCCTTTATTAATAAAAAATAATAAGTTATTATATACATATACACATACATATACGCACGCACACCCACGCGAACACGCCCGGACACACACACATACACATACACACATGCAGGCGCACACATATACACACACACATTATTCGAATATCACAAATCGGTACAGAATCATAAATATATTATTAATCTATTATTGAGTGAAACATGTTAATTTATAGGTTAGTGACTCATATTTATACTATTTAATAAATTCTAGAGGGCCAAGTAATGATATTAATATTATTCATTAATTCTATAATAAATAGAATTTGCAAATCATGTGTTCTTATAGAAATGTTTATATCATTTTATATCATATTTATTCAGACTGTCACTAATAAAAACAAATAAATAAAAGAATTTATTAAGTAATAATAATAATACGTAATAGTAATAATACGCAAAGATATCAACCCATAAATTACCATGTTTAAGTCGATAATAGGTTAATAATTCATGATTCTGTACCGATTTGTGATATTCGAATAATGTGTGTGTGTGTTTTGGATAAACATAGATTTGTATTAACTAATTTATTAAGAAAAACGGATACAAGTTTCACTAATTGAGATACTGCCATTAACAAGAGAACATAGACAATCCGAAAATTCAGAAAATTCTGAAACATTGTGTGCAAGTAGAGTAACATCAGTAATATAAAACTATTTTTGTTCCTACTAAATTACGATTTAAGCGAGTAAAACCATCCCTCGAAAAAACATAACATTTTGATTTTTAACGAATATTTTCTAAAATACAACACATGAAAAAATGGTTTATGTAAAAATTCTAAAGTATTTTATACTCTTTACAACGGTATATTCAGATTTTGTAAAAATAAAAAAA